CTTACCGTGCCACCTACGGTAATAGCTACTTCCCCATAGGGAAATCCGCTAAAAGGTCGACTGTTAGATTAACAAGTCTATAGGGTTTGGCCCGTTCCCTTTCAAAACAAAAAAAATGCCTTTGGAAAGAAAAACAAATAAAACTAAGATTGTCGACGTGAAAACCTAGTCATAAAACTTGAATGGATGGTGTTTTTGGCCTATGGGGGACCTCAAAACTAAAAAGTGAATCGGTCCCGGGTCGAATTCTTACTATGAACTACGGTAACACATTATTCCAAAAATGGGAAATTCACTGATAATTTCAATAATCTTTAAAAAGGGCCAGAAGCTATCTGTTGAAATGGTATATTTTAAACTATAGGTATAGCCAAGGAACTAAAAGGGATACAGTAAACACTTTTTGATAGTTAAGTAAGTAGCTGTATTTTTTTAAATTTATAGCCAAAAAATTAGAGTCTCAACGTGCAGTAAAACATGAAACACTACATATTTGAGCTTTAAAAAATATTCGTGACAGACTTTTTTGCAACAGACGATACAAAATTGTATTTTCTGTTAGGGACAAGAGCGGATTTTTGACGTCCAATTTTTTTGACGTTGTACTGTATAATGAATTATCTTAGAGCTTTATATGAAGGACGAGGAGAGGAAGTTGTGTAGCAATCATCTAATCAACATAAATCTCAAACCACTATAAATATCTATCATATTTTTGTTTTCTAGACATAAGTTCAACGGATAAAGGCACCGAATCACAGTGCCAGGGAATAATCGCTTGACCATTTGTGATTTTACCCAAGGTCCTGACACAGACAAGTATATCAATGTATTTATTTATTTTGTCTGTGGTTCTAACCAACATACCAACCGCCTCCAAGGCCGTACTTGAAGAATGTACAAAGCCTGAATGCTTAGTTTGCAAATTATTTTTAAAATATTAATAATTCAATTATTATTTTACAGTGTCAACATAAAAAAAAAAACACGTTCAAAAGTTCAAACACTTTATTCCATGAAGCTGAAACAAGTTATAATATTTTAATGAGCGTTAGTTGAAGTAACAAGGAGATTTTTGTTAATTAAATAACTCCGATAATAGCAACACAATGGAAATGGGAGTGGTAGAGAGAAGAGAGAAGGGGTAGGGGAGGTGAGTTGGAGAGAAAGAGAGATATTAAACACGCACAACACCAGTTAGTGACAAATTAGTTTTGTTTTGTGTTTATATTGGGGATCAACACAGCATGGTAACAAGTTGATCGTGTTACATATTAAACAAAACTGGCCGTAATAACTGACTTCGATGTTCCTCCCCTAATGAGATATGGAAACATATAAACATAGTTTGGGTTGGATACTTGTTTAACAGTATTTCATGGAACTGAGATTTTTACATGTATCATTTACGAGCTACAATATCATGGTTATGTATTAAGTTGAATAGGTTATTTAAAAATAATAAATAATCTTTATGAAACTGCAGTATACTAATAGTATTATGACTTGTGTTTAAAAACAATCACTAATTAGTTTAAATACTATAACGATCTAGAACTATAACATCAATATCATTTCAGGTGTCTTAAGGCTTCGAAATATCGTAAACATTACCATCATTTGTTTATTTCTAACCGAATTTTCCAATCACAGTACCACTGGAAATAGATTGAAAAGCTCTTCAAATATGATGTTAAGTATTATTTTGATTGGGACTTGAGAGTCAATCATTTTCTGAAATTTGGCTTTGGAAATATAAATATAAGGTCTTAAATGTAAGCATAGGTTGATATGCAATCAAACTAAAGGTCTTTAGTCTTCTTTGGTCTTCACGTATTATATATAAGGATACTGTACATTCATGTCCTGCAGTATTTTCTATGTACAAACAGGATGCATTTTTTTATCTTTACTAGTAAAACACAATGCCGCAAATTTGAACTCAAACCGACAACCGAGTCAAAAATGGCAGATGTTAAAGATATCATTTTGATACTTTAAACGGCCGCCATTTTTTTCTCAGTCAGTTGTTATTTTTCAACTCAAATTTGTTGCATTTTATTCTACTAAACAAGGCCTTTAATTTAATGTGCATATCAACCTATGCATACATTTATGATTTTCTTATGACTTCTAGTGGGCTCATCCCAGAGAATGTAGCTTATAATTCAATGTATCTTTGAACAGCTGCCATTTTTGACTCGGTTGTCAGTTTGAGTTCAAATTTGTGGCTTTGTGTTTTACTAGTAAATACTTTTATTTGATTTGCATCTAAACTATGCTTAGATTAAAGATTTTCTTATTACTACTTGTGGGCCATCCCTCTGGAGGAGAGGAAAATTGACAATTGCTTAAAAAGGTAGGCTTTTATGATAAATATCTACATACAAAACTGTACCTTAAATTGAAATTCTCATCAATCTCAAAACTAACAGTTCCTGCTAAGATTCAATGTTAAGTAATTAGTCGAGTCTATTAATATTATGTGATATCATTTTCACACAATATTATGCAATGTTTATCAACAGTTATCAATTAAATGGTATACTTTATACCAAGTCGTAGGAGAGTTGGCTTTGTATCATAAATTAACTGTTAAGTAGGTTAACCGTCTACAACAAACGTTTATTTATTTCGCCATTACAGTTAATAAATTGCTCTTAGCAGATTAGTTCTAAAGCAATGAGAGCCCAGTTTTACGCCTTAGATTTGTAGTCACAGGTAAGAGAATTCTGTATGGTCAATTGGAAATGTTACGAGTCTTCGAAACTGAAAACGAACGCTCTTATGTGTATCATATGAACAACTATCCGCAGTATTATCCTGAATAATTAGACCAATTCGTAAATTACAAGGAAAAATGTGGTTCGGATTCCACTATAAACTGTAGGTCCCTTAGTTGCCATTAGCTGTATGGGCTATTAATTAACAGCTGTGTCTAAGGAACATGTCGGCCTTAGTCACTAACAAGACTACAAGATCGCGCCACTCATCCTACACTCATCCTTCACTCATATTTGGGTTAAAATACGCACATAGTGGCGTCCCCATCTTAAATAATTGAATTGAATTGAATTGAACTGTAATTAATACAAATTATCCGTCCGTTTAAAACAAAATCTTTTATCCATAAGAAATATATTGGGATTTTTATGGCCTGTGGAGCAAAGCCCAAAGACTTTTATTACAGGAATTGGTGAAAGGGGGTATCTACACAAACAATACTTCATTTTGACACATCGTTTGTAAAAATCCGTCCATTATTAACGGAGGGGTAGTGTTTCGTAGAAATCGCCTTCACGTATTATATAAATAAATAAATAAATAAATAAAAATGCCTTTATTTGCGAGCGTCTTTCAGTATATATAAGGATACTGTACATTCATGTCCAGCAGTATTTTCTATGTACAAACAGGATGCATTTTTTTATTAGTGTATATATATTACGTCAAAATTTTAATTTCAGAGTTCACAAATGTAAATCTCAGAAGCGTGCAGGAAAAATTCCATAATGTTATTTCAAGATAATGATTAAACAAGAGCACCATGGAACAAAATGGAATAAACTATTTATTTGGTCCACTCATTTAATTTATATTACTATACCTACTGATTTAAAAAGGGTTTAATAATAAAAATGAGAAGACTGCCGTACACGTACGGTATTAACAGTATTTAATTCATTTGAAAATGTACCATGCATCAGATTACAAAAAACTGTTACGTAGACAAAAATATGGAAGCTAACAATTATAACAAAATAATATTCAGTTCTAAGCTCATGTAAAAAATCAGCGACTATAATTTAATGGTACCTTAAATCAACCACTTGTTTGCCAGTTGCCAATAGTACGATTGTTTCAACGGAATGCGGAAAAAAGGCTAAACACGTCTCATGGACATACTTTTATATAGTATTCACAATTACTAATAATGTATCTAAGTAATTGTTTGTATATTGTATCCTTAGATAAATTTGGTTTGTTCATCAAGCTAACTCGCAGCATATATTTTACTGCATAAATTTGTTAAATCATTTTGTTATATTCATCAATGCAGTAGATGAGACAGTAGAATTGAAACCTCTTACTAAGAAATAATAGTATTTTTTATCATCACTAAGTTGTGTTTGGTTATTAAAACCACAAAGTTGTATCTAGTTTAAGTTGAACAAGAAAACACAATAGTATTTACTGTATTTGATATTCATGTATACAGTTCTTACTAGAAAGCTGTAGATCTAGGTAAGAAGCATAATCTTTTGACACAATTTAAAATAACAAAATGTTGTTATAAGTATTGAACTTTAACTTGACTTTTTGGTTCACTGTCTATAAAAACTGTTGTTATTTTCAAACATATAAGTTTTTTTTCACATTGAGATCACAGTGAAAATACAATGATCATAACTTTCTTGAGGGTTGTCAAAAGATAGTGTCCGCCCTGAGTCCAAGCTTATAACAAACAGTACAGTACTACAATATTTGTTATTACAGCTAATTTTAAAATAAGTAAGTTGTATACAGTTTAATATATTTGACTTCGTAATAAAGTATATACTCATAAATTAATGTTTCTTTCTAGTTCTAGAGCATTCCCCTATTTGAACAACAATAGAAGAAGAATCCCATCCTTGTTTAAGAAAGATATATCATATAATACCAGATTATATTTTTTTACAAAATACACTTAACCTTCATTTATTATTTGTAATAGTGTTTATTTTTTTATGCTAGAGTATTTATATATCTAGAACAACGGCAGCAAAGTAATCACCCCTTCCTTAGCGATAAATTTAGCTGAAACGCAAAATAAATTTCCTACTTTTATTTTTTGTCATTTCCTGGTCGTTCCTACTCCTCTTTTATGTCCTTTCTTTAAAAACAATGACTTTTTGTCTTTCCTCGTTCTCTGATGCATTCTCAATCAAAGCTTTACCATTTATCATCATATATTTAGACATATTTTTCTTTTAAATAGTGGTGTCAATCATACTTACATGAGAGATTGGGCTGAGTTTTTGTAAAATATCCTATGTAACACACACAAACGCACAAGTACTTTGCGCGCACTCTGCTTCGCGTCTACTGGACTGGGCTAAGCCCCCACCCCCACAAACTACCCCCGCGCACCCACACACTCGCACGCGCCTGCCCACTCATTCATATCCAACCACTGTTAATGAACTGATCATTCCCACTCTTCACCCTGGGGATTTATAATGTAGGATGACTCTGTGTGGTGGTGTTTTGTAAACTTTTAATCAGGTTTAAATGTTTAAATCAGATTAAGGAGTATAGTATAATGTGATCAATTTATACATGAAGAGATTGATATATTAGGTTTAATAATTGGTTACAATCAATAATGGTTGCAAAATTAATGTACTGGTGGTTAACTACTATTAACTACTATTAATTAATTAATTATTAATTGAATTAACTACTATATGTGGTTTTGATTAATACAATTATTGTATCAAGACCTTATTTAATTTATAGTTGAATTATTTATATATATATATAGACCCCCTGAAAAAGTAAATACTGTAGGCTATTTAACTTGCTCTTTTTCTATACAAAACCTTTATTTTGGAATAAATAATATTATTAACCTTTATCTTTAAAAAAACTTAAACAGGACCTTAAGGACAACTTTCTTGTTTTCACGAAAGCAAGAAGATTACCTCTTGAAGTGGGTGGCTCATTCAATGCAGTGTCCACCCAGCAAACTATGAGAATAAGAATCATAATGAGAATCATAAGCTCTAGCATAAAGAATATTATCATAATAAAGGGGGTTATATATCTAATGCAACCCAACTTAAACGTATTGTGAGACACATTTTAACGACAAAACAAGCCTATACGTTGGTTTAACCTGTGTCTTTGTTTTATTGCCGATCAGCTGATTTGCATTGATGCATAGTTATACGTTGGTATACCTGTGTCTTTGTTTTATTGCCGATCAGCTGATTTGCATTGATGCATAGTTATACGTTGGTATACCTGTGTCTTTGTTTTATTGCCGATCAGCTGATTTGCATTGATGCATAGTTATCTTTGAGGTTTAGTGTAGTTGGAAATTTATTTTAATAAGATACATCACGGTAATTCCCAAATATCGAAGAGTTATACGTTAAAAGTAAACTATTGGTTTTATGCTAGTAAAGGTTAGAAATTAATTTTCCTGGTGTGATTCCAGTGCACTTCATTAATCAACTATTATTGACATGTATTTTTTTTATCGCTCACTTAGTAGACCTACAACCTGTAGTGTACAGTACTCTATTTGTGCTTGTGAAAAGACGATTTTAAGTCTCAGTTAAAATAAATTCCCAATAACACTAAAATTCATAGATAACAGTGCAGTTATGCATATCATATAATCGGCAATGAAGTAAAGTAAAAATGCATACCTACATATAAGCTTTTTTGTCATTAAAATGTGTTCCACAATAGTTTCATATATTTGGGCTGCGTTGAAAAACCCCGTATAGTGACCGTGTCTTATTCCACGCTTATTAAAGTAATGCATTAAAGAATTTCTTTTTTAGTTTAGTTAGGTATATTTGCTCGCCAATGGTAGCCTACTCAAATTGTGTAATGGTAATCAATTTCAATTTTATCAGTAGAAATTTAATATTTATAGATTGTTGATTGAGAAATGTCCGATATTATTTGTTGAAAGTATATTTATATGTAGCCATCTAAATGCATAGGTTTTTTTACATTATTTATGTAGCATCAATTTATCTTCTCAAACCTTTAGGCCTGCACGGTTAACGAAATTTACTTTTGGTATCGGTTTCATAAAATTTTTAAAACTTCTGATAACACATTTTGAATATATTTTGTGTCTCGCAAGAAATAATAAAAGTACTTCATTTATTCATTAGATAAGAAAATTCAGGGGAAACGTAATTATTGCAAATCATTGCTTTGCTCACAAAGTTTTTGAACGACAAAAATAACCATATATCTCTTGGCAGTTAATGATTTTACCATTTACTTGACCATTTCATAAATATAACAATATTAAAATTTATTAATAAGCTACTTGGTAATAATAATACTTAAAACCAGTCAAGACTGTGCCCTTAAGGTGAGTAAAATGTTCCAAATAATCATTCCGTTGTCTGAATCAAATTTATTACGATTCAGCTTTCCGAATCGTACAGAGTTTGTGCTTGGAGACCTATTTATATCGGATTTATTTTGCAATTCTGATTTATAAATAAATTTAATACGATTTCGTGCATCAGTTCGTTTTTATTCAACAAAGTAACGATGTTAAAACTTTATTTTATATACATCTCATTCACTATTAATGGAGTTAAAAAAAATAATGATATCGTTATAAATTATGATGAAGACAAATCTACACCACAACGATGTACATCTATGATTAAACAAAAAGCTTTTAACTCCCGCACCTTTAATTACAATAAATTAGTTAATGACTCGTCGACAGAGGATTTTCACGATAGAGAGGTTCCATACATACCACTTGTTCCTTAAACTAAATAGTGTGTATATAGTATTAAATCCTGATTTGAAACTGTTTTGGAATTGGGCCTTTATGAATAGTTTTGACTGTTTTGTTATGTAGATTAAAATACAGTATACAATACGTAAACAAATTGTTGTTCTGAATCAAATAAGGTTTGAACTGACCAGACTATCCCCGTTCATAGTACGAGCACGGACTTACTGTTAGCATATCAATGGTATAAAATAAATATATTTTAATACGAAATCCAATGGCAACCATCGCGTAACATCTTAGAGGCCTAATACAAGAACTACTTATGAAGAATATATATTGATTGCGATAAAAAAAGAATCGTTTCTTTAAACAAAACTCGAAGCACTAAAAATAATGAAAGTTTCGTAACAACTGGTGGACGAGGAATCCGTGTCGTTATTTGCACAATCATGCAAAACACCAGCTTCGCTGAACGTACGTAATGATACACATTTGTGAGTCTTTCACAAAAGTGTTCATGCATCATTCATGCTTTGCCGAGGTTGAAAGTCTTGACAAAATAATGGGTTGTTATAAATTCAATACTTTCTTTAAATAACTGCTATGATTTACTTGATTTCATTTTAGCCACTAAGCCCTTAGATAGTTGTTTTGATTGATATATTTTGTTTAAGTTTACATTCTAATGGCTGAAAATACGTGATGGAATAACTAGGAATAATTTATAGCTTATTTAACCCGTGCATAACAATCAAATTTTTTAAGTGTTTATACATTAGAATCCTAGAATTCCCAGTACGCATGAAGGTTATGCAATGGACCATTGTTTTTTAAATTTTTATTCAAAGGAGTTTTTACAACTGATCCTCTGTCATTTTCCATTATTCTTGTTCAAAATTTAATGTAGAACACGAAAATGACATTATCTACTCAAATCCATAAACAGGTAATTGAGAAATCGCTGTATTAAGTTTAAAAGCATGGTTATTTTTGAAAAACATAAAATAATTTTTTGGGAAGCTAATTTTAAGACCTGGAACATTTGATATGCATCATCACGCTTCATTTACTTTGTACTTACACCAAACAATTTTTGTCACACTGAGTACCAATCACCCTGTATTCTATAAAATGCCTAGGGGTATTCTCAAACAAATATTTGAAAACAGAATGCTACTTTGTTTCGAATTGCAATGCAAATATCTCTAAAGCGTCTCAAAATAAACCCCATTAAAAATATGTTTTTTAAATTGACATACAATTGCTTAAGGTAAAAAGGAAAATACGTTCACTACTAGAATGTAGCACAACATGAACATCCAAATTACGGTTGCAAGAGGAGAATTAACATTGAGTTCTGAGAAGGGTGGCGTATCTGTGACGCAAGAGTCCCACACTGTAAAACAACAACCTTGTGTGGGCGTGTTTGATGGGATACAACACAGTAATTACATGTCATTGACTTGTGCTACCAAAGAAAGCTAGCTTTAATTAACTTGTCACAGATGTTTATTTCACCTATTACTATAACTTAACTATTTGTTTCTTTTGAGTTTGAGTAAAATTTGTTGTGATATTGGATAATATATCTGTAATAGGAGGGTCAAATATTGTAAAGAGGAAGTGTTTGGCAATGTTGTGTGAGTAGGCTGGTAGTGTTGTTAAACAATAACTTGTTGTGCTGACCTACTGAAGGCTGTTGCTTTAAGTAGGCCAGTGCACTTGATCAAGGGGTCAGTTTGTGTGTGGAGTGGTTTGTGTGGTGCACCGGAGGACAGGGTCCTGCTGGGGGAGCTGGAGCCCAAGGCCCTTGGCCTTGGGTCCAGGTAAGAAAATGTTTAGGGTTTTCAAAATTGGGGTTTAGAATCTTTTCCAAATTGGGGTTTAAGTACCTAACTAATTTATACAGCTCCAGTCTACTTTACCTTTTTGATTGTTAGTTTAGCTTTGTGTTCTTTGTGTTGTTTTGAGTAATTAATAAAGTTAGGTTTTGTAAGCGAGTGCTGAGTTTCATTCCTGAGCTACGTCACCCAAAGTAACAGTACGTATTCCGAGAGGAAAACGACCGTTACATATCTAATAGTCTTTATTTTATTGTCTTGTTGAAATCATATGGTTTATGTTTATCTGGTGATGATTTTTGTTAGTATTGAGATGGCATTAAGATTAAAAATGCCCATCTAAAGTGGGCTTCCTTGCACTGATTATAGTACAGAAAGCTGGTAATTGCTGCATTTACTTACTTTCCCTCACACTTGTTACTTTGTCGCAAACCAGCATTCCGACCAAACAACACATAACAGCATGCTTTAGCTTGTTTTATTATGCACGTAATCCGTGTACTCTTGGAAATAGGTTGGCAACACTTAAAGCTACTACGAGTACGATCAGCTGGTACAGCGTTTCCCAACAACGTATTGTACAGTGTTTGAAAGACTAATTATTTATATGATTTATAGTCACTGTAGAAAACAATTAATGTGTAACATGAGTGCAAACTACCTTTGCTGCAGTTACACAAATAACTAGTTTTTTTTATTCTTTTGCGACATATGTTTTTATTGGTTTTTATTGCCTAGGTGCTTGTTG